CATCACATCCAGTCACATCTCACAGGAGACTTCGGGCCTCTGGACACTCAGGTCTCCTTGAAGGAGCTTCCTCCAGGCCCCAAGCGACCTGCACATGTCCTGTCATACTCAGCTCATGCAGGAGCACAAGGACAAGGGCTTCCTTTCTGGCTTCTGCAGGGGTCCTGTGAGACTCCCCTGGGCATAGCCCTGGCAGCCACCCCAGATACCTGGAGGGCAACAGAAGCCGAGGGCCAGGCCCAACCAGGGACAGGACACACCAGCTCTACCCTCATGACCTGCTCTCCAAAAACTGGACCTTGTGCCCTGAGACTTCTCAGCCCCTATTCACTGTGAGGGTGAAGGTGGGAGGACCCAGCCCAGGCAAGATGAGAGTCCAACAGCCAAGAGGGTCCTTCTCTGAGTCTATTTCATTGTTACTTCAAGGTGAGATAACGGTGTTATTGTGGAGTGAGGTGGGCAAATTGCAGTGAACTTGTTTGAGCCTCATCTCAATCTATAACATAGATTAAGCAGGGCTGTTGTAAGAAAATATTAGAACAGCCAGGCGTGGTGGCCCACGCCTGTAATCCCAGCACTTTGGGAGGTCAAGGCAGGCGGATCACTTGAGGTCAGAAGTTCAAGACCAGACTGGCCACCATGGTGAAACCCCGTCTCTACTAAAAATACAAAAAACTTAGCTGGGCGTGATGGTGCATGCCTGTAATCCCAGCTACTCGGGAGGCTGAGGCAGGAGAATCACTTGAACCCAGGAGGGTGGAGGTTGCAGTGAGCTGAGATCGCACCATCGCACTCCAGCCTGGGTGACAGAACAAGACTTCCGTCTCAAAAAAAAAAAAAAAAAGTGCTAGAACAACATCAGTACTATTATTCTACAGCATCAGAGATTCTAATTCAACTCCTTTGCTGTCCTGACCAGATCTTCCAACCTAAGTCCTGAAAAAGAGACAGTCAAATCCCCAGCGGGAAGGGAATGAGGAGGAAGGAGACCAGCAAGCCCCTCCCTCAGGGCGAACACTGGTTACCTCTTATGAGGAGCTGTTGCCCTCAGGGTGCCCACAGGGATATCACTAACACTGCAGAGCACTTGCTCGGCTCGGTTCCACTTGACATAGACTCATTTCATCCTGCTAACAACCTTATGAGGTAAGCACTGTTTTAATCCCCATTTCACTGAGAAGTTGGGGCACTGAGAGGCTAAGTAACTTGCTCAAGGCCTCCCAGCATATACATGGCCGAGCCAGGATTTAAATTCAGGTAACGTGTGCCCTCAACTCACTTTGCCAGTCTGCTAGGAAATTGCTGGAGTTTCCTTTTTTTTTTTTTTTTTTTTTCCCTGAGGCGGAGTCTCTCTCTGTCATCTAGGCTGGAGTGCAGTGGCGCCATCTCAGCTCACTGCAAGCTCCACCTCCCAGGTTCACATCATTCTCCCGCCTCAGCCTCCTGAGTAGCTGGGACTACAGGCACCTGCCACCCAGCTGATGTTTTGTATTTTCAGTAGAGACGGGTTTCACCGTGTTAGCCAGGATGGTCTTGATCTCCTGACCTCGTGATCCGCCCGCCTCAGCCTCCTGAAGTGCTGGGATTACAGGCATGAGCCGCCGCGCCCGGCCAACTGCTGGAGTTTCTTAAACGTCATGTTGGTGGCTTTGTGGGACTCCATCTTTGGCCTCCACACAGTGCAAGGGATGTTGCCTTGCCTTTGAGGCAGCAGGATGAGACAGTGGGTGGCTGGGTTGGGATTCCCAAGGCAGAGTAGGTAGCGGCAGCTGCCAAGGAGTGGAGGACAAGGTGAAGGGCCAGGGGCAAGGCAAGCGGGGCCAGGACCCAAAGCCAGAAGAGGCCAAACCAAAGAGGGCCTGGCCAAATTCCAAGCTCCCAGCAGCTCCAACACTCCCAGCCCTCTGCGCCTGTGGGCCCAGGTCATGCTCCCTCCTTGCACTTGGGGCCAGGCACGCAAACCACAGTGGGAGGAAATTCCTCCAAGGAATCAAGGCCTTCAAGAACAGGGTCCAAGGTTCTTGTGACTACAGGGTCCTGCTCAGGCAGGCTTGCCACCCACAGCAGGTTCTGAGGGGAAGCCCCGGCTCAGACACCCTGCGGGGCATAGGCTCAGTAAAATCAATTGCGAGTCTGGAATCAGGCCATTACCTTCTTCTCCTGGGTCCCTCAGAGGTTCTGACTGACGCCCGAAAGAGTACAGGAGAACAAGGCCAGCCGAGCACAGAACTGCACGCAGGGCAGCTCCTCCGTGGTGGCAGTCGAAGGAGCCCAGGGGCAGGGGGCAGGCCCAGCTGCCTGGGCAGCAGGTTTTCCTTGAAGGCCAGGACATGCCCCTTAGGTCAGCCTCTGGGGTCCTCCTCCAGGGTCTCAGGCTGGGGCAGCCTCTGCTCTCCCTAGGCCTGTGAGGGGCAGACCATCGCTGGACTCAGGAACCATGGCCAGGTTGGGGGTCACGTGAGCTGGGCTTCCCTCCTCTCTGCTTCCTCCAACTCCCTTGCCAGGCCTCGATCCGCTGACAGTCTTGAGATGTGTTTCCCACTCCGCTCCTCCCTGGCGATGTCATCCACTCCCGCTCTCAGTGACCCTGGTGCCAAGTGTTCCCAAGCCTGTGTCTGCAGACTAGACTTCTCCCTGTGAACCCAGCGGCCCCGAGGCATCTCCCCTGAAACCCTGCATCCAACACTGAATCCCCATTGCCCCGACCTGCTCTTTGTCCATGCACCCAGCAACCAAGCCAGAAGCCAGGGCGGTTTTTTCTGATACCTACCTACTCCCCATATCCAAAGTCAACAGGTCCTATCAGCAATTCCTCCCTCCTGTCTCGGAGTCTGTTCCTATGTCACACCTTAGTCAGGTCTTATCACCTTCTCTCAGTGTCTCCCCTCTAATCCATCTCTGCACAGCAGCCAGAATGACTTTTCTATCATGATTATGTCATGCCCTTGCACAAAAAAAGTCCACAGATGAGCCTCCGTTGTTCTTGGGTTGAAGTGTGAGCTTGGCATCCAAGACCCTAACAGATCCAGTCCACTCTTGGGCTCCCTCACTGCCATGGGCACCTCTCAGACACTACACTCAAGTCCTCCTCAATCTCCCACCAAACACCTCACTACATTTGCCAATGCCTCACTTTCCTTCTGTACCAGCTCATTCCTCAAAGGCTGACACTGTACTTGGGGAACACATGGGGGTGGCTGCCTGGCTCATGAGAACTGCCTCTTGTCTGAGAATGATCTGGAACAAACAGATGGGCTCCCCAAACCGTGCCCCTTGGACTCATAGCAGATTATGCTTTAAGCCCATGTATACTTGACCAAAGCTAGGCCAAACTGATTCTCTTGTCTGAGCACTTGAAACTTGGAATTGAGAGTTTGGAAGTCCTGGTTATAGAGAGTCCCATTAGTGCCCCTAAATGACAGGATGCTAGATGTGAAATGCCTGACCTCTGGCTGCTGGGACTGCCTGCTTCCTGCTGTCCCTTTGATTCTATGCAACAGCCAGGATTCTCCCCCAAACTCCTTTCTATTGCTTGCAATTAAAAATAGCTTAACTCAAGTCTTTTCCATCTTAAAACTAGCTCCCTTGTGCAAGAATCTGAGGATACAGAGTAAGACACAGCCTGAGGCGTCAGGGAGCTCCCAGTTTAGCTATGGGGGCAGGCATAGTAAGGGGCAAGTACAAACTGTCATAGAGATTAAAATAAGCCTGTAAATCCCAGCACTTTGGGAGGCAGAGGCAGGAGGATTACTAAAGTCTAGGAGTTCAAGACAAGCCTGGGTGATACAGTGAGACGCCATCTCTACAGAAAATAGCCATGCAGTGGCACATGCATGTATTCCCAGCTACTTGGGAGGCTGAAATGGGAGGATCACTTAAGCACAGGAGGTCGAGGCTACAGTGAGCTGTGATAGCCCCACCATACTGCAGCTTGGGTGATAGAGAAAGACCCTGTGTCAAAAAAAAAAAAAAAAAAAAGATGGCCAGGCGCAGTGGCTCACACCTGTAATCCTACCACTTTGGGAGGCCGAGTCACCTTTTGGAGGGCAGATCACCTGAGGTCAGCAGTTTGAGACCAACCTGGCCAGTATGGAAAAACCCCATCTCTACTAAAAATACAAAAATTAGCTGGGTGTGGTGGTGGGTGCCTTTAATCCCAGCTACTTGGGAGGCTGAGGTGGGAGAATCGCTTGAACCTGGGAGGTGGAGGTTGCAGTGAGCCAAGATTGCGCCACTGCACTCCAGCCTGGGCAACAAGAGCAAGACTCCATCTCAAAACAAACAAACAAAAAGATGAAAACAAAATGTGGGCAGGACAATATTAGAGAAGGGCTCATGGAAGGTGTTGTGGAGGGGGGAACATCTGAGCAGTGTCTTCTAGCTCTAAGAGATAAAGCCCAGCTCAAGAAAAATAAAAATGAGTGACAATTTTTTATTTTTATTCAAAATGAAAATAGATTTATTAATTCCTGTGAAAAACATATTATAATCAGATTACCCACTTTATTTATAGGAAAACAATTCATTAAGAAGCTGTCTGGGCACAGTGGCTCACGCCTGTAATCCCAGCACTTTGGGAAGCCAAGGCGAGCAGATTACCTGACGTCAAGAGTTTGAGACCATCCTGGCCAACATGGCGAAACCCCGTCTCTACTAAAAATATAAAAATTAGTGGCCAGGTGCAGTGGCTTATGCCTGTAATCCCAGCACTTTGGGAGGCCGAGGCAGGTGGATCATGAAGTCAGGAGATCGAGACCATCCTAGCTAACACAGTGAAACCCTGTCTCTACTAAAAATACAAAAAATTAGCCGGGCGTGGTAGCAGACACCTACAATCCCAGCTACTTGGGAGGCTGAGGCAGGAGAATCACTTGAACCTGGGAGGCGGAGGTTGCAGTGAGCCAAGACGTGCCATTGCGCTCCAGCCTGGGCAACAGAGTGAGACTCCGTCTCAGGAGAAAAAAAAGAAAAATGAAAAAAGAAAAAATGAAGCTTGGCACTGGTTTTCACCTGCACAAATGTTACCATCTGGGCATATTTGAAATGCTGGCAGGTAGGCAGGCCATCACAGTCATAGAGGATTTAGGAGAAGAGTAGCATAGGCAGGGGGACCAATGTGAGCAAAGGTGCCTGGGGAAACTGCATGGGAAGTGGTGGGAGGGAGAATAACATTTAGTTCGAGAGTAAAGTAGGGGAAGGCAAGAAAAGAAACCAAGAGGCCCGGAGGCATCATCACAGAGGGCCTTATATCCACACTCAAGCCTTTGTTTGGCTTTATCCTGAGAACAGCAGGGAACCATTGAGAGTTATTGAGCAAGGGAGGGTCATTGTCACTTTGCTGGCTAGTGTCAGGAAAGTGAGGTTTACTCCATCCCTGACCAACCTTTACGCCCCAGCCACCTCTGTCCCTGAGGTTCGAGGAACCCCCGTGTCATAACCACTGTCCTTAAGCTGTCAGGCATTGAGGGAATGGGGAAGGTCCAAAGATGGGAGCTCAGAGGGAGAAGTTGTCCCTGCTACCCTCTGTCCCCAGCTCGCCAGTCCCAGGCTGAATGTAATTGTCCTCGATGAAGCCATCATCATCCTCATCTTCAGCCACCTGTGGGCGGCCCCCCCTTCCTGTCCCAGGCAGTGGGCGGTGCCGGTAGCTGGCATGGTATCGGCGGCAGAGGTGGCATTTGGCAGCCAGTGCGATGAGGAGTGAGAGGACCACAGCCCCCAGCACAAATCCTACCAGCACAGGCCACGCCCGAGCCCCAGTGCCTGGGCCAGGGGCCACAGCAGATGCTGTGGGGAGCTCCGAGGGCCCCACAAGTGCTGCAGAGAAAGGGACAGCATTATAGGTGGGCCCCAGAGGGGGCTCCCTGGAGAAACCAACAGGAGTGCGGGTAGGGTCCTTCCCCCAACCCCAGCCTCTAAGGGGAAGCCCCTCACCCCCATCATCCTCCCACTGTCACTCACTTTTGTTTGTCTCATTCATGGAGGGGCCTGATGACACCAGTGAGTCTCAGCCTCAACCAGAAAGAGCCCTGGCTCTGAGGAGGCCCCCAGATGCCAGGCAGCCCCAGGGCACAAGTCCTAGAAAATAACGTAGGTATGGGTGTCAGGGACGGTCACAGGGTGCACTTTCCAGGTCACACTCACAGCCATGGTAGTGCTGCACAAACTCTGGGGACTGGACAACTGACCACACCAGTTGTCCACAGAAGAGAAACAAGCTGAGCCTACAGAAACTGACTATTTGTAAGGGACCACCAGAGGGTTTTGCTCTGGAAGATGCTAAAAAAAAAAAAATAACTAAATTGTAGAACTTACTGAGCATTCCTTATAATTCAAGCACCAGGCATCATGCTCACAAAACCCAGTAAGGTAGGTATAAACATTATCCCCACTTTATAGATGAGGGCTCTGAGGCTGAAAAAGGTGAACTGACTCAACCAAAGTCCCCAAATTCGAACCCAGAGCCCAGTCTGTTGCACTGCTTGGTAAGCTAAGGATGGGAGACAGGGGCAGAGGTGGGTCTTGGCTCCCAAAGGTCAGAAAACAGCAATGCTTGGAGCTACCCAGCCAAAGCGGAGACTACATATGGGGAGAGTGATGCAAGTCCCAACTGAGGACAGGGGCCCTGGACACAGCCAGAGCAGCCCTGGCCCTTCTGCCTCTAAGTTGAAAGCAGCTGCTGCCCACTTCTACTCTCTCAGCCCTTCAAGCAAATCCCTGTCCATTCACCTCTACTTACAGGAGGCCCACACTCTGCCCCTAGAGGGAGGCTCAAGCCAGGGAGTATTCAAATGAGGATCACCTGAATCAGGAAATTATCACCCAGGGCTGGGGACACCTACAGGAGGAACACTTCAATTAGGGGAGTAGCTGGAGGAAGATCATCCAGGCTTGGAAACACCTGGAGTGTCTGGAGGAGGCACACCTGAATCTGGGGAGTATCTAGAGAAGGAGCATGAAAGTTAGAAGTACCTGGCAGACGAAGAACTAGGGCAGGAGCGTATCTGCAGGTGGAGCACCTGAACCAAAGGAGTCCTTGGGGGCAGAGTAGCCAGGTTAGGAAAGTACTTAGGAAAGAAGTTGAGGGGAGTACCCCAGTATATTCTTTGATACAAGTGCCTTCAAAATTCCCCCCCACCTCCTCACGTCCAACCTGGCATCAAGCCCCATCATCTCTTCCACTAAACATCTCTGGAATGACAATACCCTTCTCTCCACCCCTCTGCCACAGCTGAGTCCAAGCCACCTTCCTCTTGTACTCTAGCCATAATCTCCTAACTGGTCTCCCCACCTCTGGTCTCTTCCCCAGAGTGATTGGCCTAGAACCCAACTCTGACCCCATCACTAGCCTGTTTAAAATTCCTTTAAACGCTCCTCATTCCCCACAGTGCCTTGCAATCCAGCACATGGCCCTCAAGCCAAACTCTTCTTCCTCTTCTCCACAGTTCCCTCCCCAGCACTCCAGACAGACACACATGCCACCCTCCCACTCACCCACCCTCCTGCTCCCTGGCCACACCCTCCTCAGTTTTTGGGGCCCCAGTCTGTCAAGGCCAAATCAGACTATACCTGCCTGTGAGGTTGTCCCTGGACCTACCCTGGGTGACCTGTCACCATCCTGCCCAGTCAACCATCAGTCAGAACCAGTCATTGCTAGGCGGGCAGCTCCCCGTGGTCAAGTGCTGGCTGATGGATCTGTACCCTCATGCTGCAGAGAGCTGGGCACTCAGCCGCTCAGTGTGGTGCTTGTGACATTAACGAGGGGAGCAGGAGAGACGTCCTAGGAAGGAGAGGTCACCTGCTCATTCATTTCTCAGCCTGCTGTGGGCCTCATCCTAGCACTAGGTCCGCAAAACATGAGAATGTGTAACACTGGAATGAACTGAATTCAATCTGACGTTTCTAAGGTTGTACTCCTATTCCTTTCCTCCCTGCCCTGTGAATTCTTCCCAAGAAGACACACACACACTAACCTTCCAAGGGCACATATACACTCCCCAACAAGCCTCTGAACTCACAGCCCACACTGACCTGCCCATCCCCCATACACACATACACACAGTCGCCCCTCCCCCCAGGTCACACTTTCCTCCACCAACAAACACACCCTCTGACATGCACAGACACCTACCCCCACTCTGATGTGTAGCTTCTTTCCTGTTGCCAGGAGCCCCTGAGGATCTGTGCAGAGCCTGGGTACCCCCTCCCCGGCCCCCCGAGCCTTCTGTTCCCACCTCAAGAACTGTGCACAGTCCGCGGAGTAAGCTTCCGGCTGGGGCCGGCAGAACCTGGACAGGTGGGCGGGTCAAGGCCAAGCTTGACTCACCTGCGGAGGCAGTGGGCGGGACCGAAGTTGCAGGTCGGGCAGAGGGCGGGCTCCGGCAGCGCCTCCAGTGGGGAGGGATCATTCTACGTCTCCCCCAAGCTTTTGCCAAGAACTTTATGGGTGTAGACCTCACCCTCACCCCCCAATGCTGGGGGTTTGTACAGCTGGGATCCAGAGAAGGGTCCAGCGGCCCCTAGAGGGGCAGACACCTCAGCAGGCAGATGCTCAGGCTGATAAACAACTGAATGTCCGGTGACTGGTACAAAGTCCAGAGTTGAAGCAGGAGCTTTGCAGGCCTGTAAGGGTGGTGGGCTGGAACCAGAGGGGGTGGGGAGGGCATTCTTTCCAGGCAAAGCCAGAAGGACCAAGAACTCTCCCAAATTGCCTGCAAATGGGTGTGTAACTGTGTAGGGGGTGAGTGGTGGATCTGGATGGGGGCTCAACCTTCATCTGGATCTCAGGATTCTGTGACCCCACAAGCCAGCCTCTGAACCTCTCCCGGGTGCTCTCTGATTCCCTTTAGCTTTACTCCTCGTCTCTGGGCCTGGTGCCCCCTGTTCTTCAAGTTCCAGTTCAGGAATCACCTTCCCTGAGCCCTCCCTCTACCCTGCAAGCCCCTACTCTTCCACGCCCAGAGCACCCACAGTATTCCTCATTATCTTGTGATTATTCGCTTTCCCAGGGTGGGGCCAGGCTTTGACAGCCTGTGGCTCCCAGCACAATACTGAACCAGGCCAGGCTCCCCGTAACTACCTAAGGGAAGAAGGACAGCACGTGCCAAGGCCTGGAGGCCCCAAATTCACAAGGAGAGATAGGGCACAGTGGGAACAAGGGCTGCAGAGAGGCCAGGTATGGTGGCTCACACCTGTAATCCCAGCACTTTGGGAGGCCGAAGCAGGTTGATTGCTTGAGCCCGTGAGTTGGAGATCAGCCTGGGCAACATAGGGAGACCCCATCTCTACTACAAACACAAAAATTAGTTGGGCGTGATAATGCTCACCTGTAGTGCTAGCTACTGGGGAAGCTGAGGCGGGAGGACTGCCAGAGCCCAGAAGTTTCAGACTATAGTGAGCCATGATTGCGCCATTACACTCCAGCCTGGGCTACAGAGCAAGACCCTGTCTCAAAAAAATAAAAGGGGGGTACAGAGAGGAGATGCAAACAAGGCATGGTAGAACTGTGGCTGGAAGGTGGAGGCCAGTTCACACTTGGCCTTGAAAATCTTAGGTTGAAATCTGAACCCTCAGGGCATCCCTTCCCACCTATCCTGCCTCCTCTGCTGCAGCTATACCAAACTATTTTCTTTTCTTTTTTCTATTTTCTTTTTCTTTTTTTTTTTTTTGAGACAGAGTCTCTGTCACCCAGGTTAGAGTACAGTGGTGCGATCTCAGTTCACTGCAACCTGCGGCCCTGGGGTTCAAGCGATTCTCCTGCCTCAGCCTCCCGAGTGGCTAGATTACAGGCATGCACCACCACACCCAGCTAATTTTTGTATTCTTAGTAGAGACAGGTTTTTGCCATGTTGGCCAGGCTGGTCTCAAACTCCTGACCTCAAGTGATCTGCCCGCCTCAGCCTCCCAAGTGCTGGGATTACAGGCATGAGCCACTGTGCCTGGCCACCAAACTCTTATCTATTCCCTGAACCCACCATGCCCTCTCATCTCCCTGGCTCTGCTCCCTTCTCCTGGGACTCCTGCCTTCCCCACTCTCCACTGCACCCCTGCAGATGGTGGCCCTTCTCCCCTATATCCTGAACCATGTCGGGTGTGATTTTCTCTTTAGTTTCCCCCAACCTGTAAACCCTAGGAGTGGGCTCTGCATTGGTCTTGTTTCCATCATATCCCCCATATCTAAAATGGCAACAGTATACTCTTCTGAAACAAATTTGAGGAAAGAGAGGATTATCCTGGATGGGGCAATGAGGCACCAAGGAGGGCTTAGGGTTTTACTTTGTTTTTGAAGCAAGGAAATCATGAGATTCAACTGATATTCATTGAGCACCTACCACGTCCTAGACACTGTGCCAGGTTTTGTTAAATTGAGGTGTTCATATACCATAACCTAATTCATATAACATAAAATTCCTCATGTTCGCCATTTCCTGGTACACGATTCAGTAGTGTGTAGTACATTCATAATGTCATGCAACCATCACTCTAGTTCTAAAACATTTTCATCACCCCAAAGGGATACCCCTGACCAATTAAGCAGTATTTCCCACGTCCCTTCCCCCCCAGTCTTTCACGACCATTAATTTGCTTTCAGTCTCTATGGATTTGCCTGTTCTGGATATTTCATATAAACGGAATCACATTTATGCCAGCTTTTTAATGAACTGTTTCACTTAATCCTTGTAACCATGCTATGAGGTAGATGTTAACTGTCCCCTTAATGGAAAAGGAAAATGAAGCTGTGAGAAGATAATTGGCATGAAGTCCTGCAGAGGAAAACAAGCAGAGGGTCTGCACATCCATCATTCAGTCATTTATTCAATGAATATTTTTTGAATGGCCACCAGAGTCACAGCCAGCCTGTATGTCACACATTGCTGAAAAGCAGATGGCTAGCTGCTGTGGCCCCACATCGTGGAGAACAGAGGGCAAACTGGGTCTCAGCACCCACGGCTCCTCAGCCAAGAGCTCTGATGTAGTGAACAACCTTTACAACCTTCTGTGGCAGCCCTGGCGTGTGGTAGGCCCTGTGCTAGCTTGTGGGACAATTTCTGCCGCCATAAAGCTTCCATTCTGGTGGATAAGACGAACAATACACAAAGAAATAAATAAGATTATTTCAGATAACAGTAAGTGTTGGGAAGAAAACAGCTTCGTGATAGCTCCATGTGAACATGAGGCGGCTGCTACTTTAGATAGTCGGAAGAGGGGACTCACTGAAGAGGGCACATTGGAGTTGAGATCTGCCTAAGAGTGAGACAGCGATTGTGCCAATATCTGGGGGCAGAGCATTCCAGCTAAAGGGAACCGCCAGCACAAATGCTGAGATACAGGAGCACGGCTGGCTTGTTCAACTACAGCAAGGTAGCCGCTGGATGGAGTGCAGAAAGATGGGGGCAGATCTGAGGGGCTACACCAGGTGATGTCAGGAGCTATTCCTGAGGGCCCTCATCGGATCTCTCCGGGAGATAGGAAGTCACTGGGCATGTGAGCAGAGGACTGCTCTTTGCATTGTAAAGGAACCGGTCTGTCTTCTGCATGAAGTATGGACAGGGGAGGCCAGGGTAGAAGCAGGAGGCCAGTTAGGAGGCTGCTGCAATCATCGAGGGGAAAGGACATGTGGCAGCCAGGAAGTCTGGTGAAGGTGGGGACAAGTGCTCAGACTCCAGATATATCTGAAGGTAAAGTTGACATGATTGGCTGATTAAATGTGGGGCTTTAGAAAAAGAAAGGATTCAAGAATAACTCCAAAGTTTTGGCCTGAGCAACTGGAAGACTGGAGCTGTCGTTTAATGAAGTGGGAGGAGTCTGGGAGGGAAACTAGGACCTCAGTTTTGGACACATTGGATGCCTGTGAGCCATCGGGTAGCATCCTGAGTAGAGCGTAGCGTCAAGTGGCCTGGATGCAACGGGCGGTGGAGACTAGAAATATACACTTAGGAACCAACAAAACATAGATGACTGTCAAAGCCAGGCATCTGGATGAGATCCTCAAGGATAAGTGTAGAGAGAGAGGAGCCCTGGAATGTGCCAGGAGTAGAGGTCAGGGTGGGGAGGAAAAGCAGGAAAGGAGACCAGGGAGGGGCCCACAAAGTAGGAGGCAAATGCGGGAGAGTCCTGGCCAGGGAAGAAAGCGTTTCAAGGGCAAGGGCTCAGCTAGCTTGGTTAGTCAAATGCTGCAGGAAGGTTTTTGAAGATAAGGAGTGAGAATTGACCTTTGAAATTGGCAAAGTGGAGATCACCAGTGACCTTGACAAGAGCAGGGGTTTTTTGTTTTTTGGTTTGGTTTGGTTTGGTCTTTTTTTTTTTTTTTTTTTTTTGGGGAGGTGGTTTTTTTCTGTAGCCCAGGCTGGACTGCCGTGGCATGATCTCAGTTCTCTGCAACCTCTGCCTCCCAGGTTCAAGCGATTCTCCTGCCTTAGCCTCCCAAGTAGCTGGGAATACAGGCGCACGCCGCCACACCTGGCTAATTTCTGTAGTAGAGACGGGGTTTCACCATGTTGGCCAGGCTGGTCTTGAACTCCTGACCTCAAGCAATCCGCCTGCCTCGGCCTCCCAAAGTGCTGGTATTATAGGCGCGAGCCACTGTGCCTAGCAATGAGAGCAGTTTTAAGAGACAAGAGAGTGTTCTGGGGACAACCGCCTGATTGGAGTGAAGCATAAGTATGGGACCAGAGGAAGTGGAGGCCACGCCTCCAAGGAACTTTGCTATAAAAGGAGCAGAGACATGGGACTGACCCTGGAGATGGGTGTGGGACTAAGGGAGGATTTTGCTTTAAGGGGAGGAGCTGTTAAACCATGTGTGTAATGCTGGCCAGAATAAGCCAGGAGAGACCGGAAACTGATGATGCAGAAGGAAGAGAAGGGACAAGGCAAGTGTGGAGTCCCTGAGGAATCGAGAGGGTGGGGTCAAGTGCACGGGGAGGGTTGGCAGCAGAGTCCCTCTGAGTCACAGGAGGAAGGTGGCTTAGACAGGTGAAATGCACTAGGTCTGTGATGGGAACCTTAGGAAGCTTTCCCCTGATGGCTTCCATTTTTTCCAGAGAAATAAGAAGCAGTGTCCTCAGCTGAGTGAAGAGCAGGAAGAGGGTGCTGAGGCTGAAGAGAAGAAAAGGTGTGAATTCACCACCCCAGAGCATGGCAGAGATAATGGGCCCAGCCGTGTAATGGGTTTACCAGACAGCCTCAGGCCCCCTGTAAGGTAGATGGGCATGGTCAGTTAGGGTGTCTGAGTTTTTCCTTTTCTAGTCCCTCCAAGTGCAGGTGGGGAGAAGATGGAGAGAGGGGTTTTGCCAAGATGAGGGATTTGCTGGGCAAATATGATAAAGCAAGAAGGGGGCGGGCAAGGGAGCTGAGCTGCGGGCAAGGGAGTGGTTGTAATGATGGCCCACAGTATCTGGTCAGGGTAAAGGGGGAAGTGGGGACAGAGGAGTGCAGAGAACCCAAAAAGGTGGTAGGATCAATGGATTTCAGGATGGATTGCTGGTGTACTAGAGAGAGTGAGTAGAAAAAATAGATAAACAGGAGGTGGTGGGCAGATGGTGGCAGAAGGAAATTGAAGTTACACTAGGGGATACAATTTGTTTTTTTGTTTTTTTTTTTTAGACAGAGTCTCACTCTGTCACGAGGCTGGAGTGCAGTGGCGCGATCTCCGCTCACTGCAACCTCTGACTCCCTGGTTCAAGCAATTCTCCTGCCTCAAGCTCCTGAGTAGCTGGAATTACAGGCACGCACCACCACGCCCAGCTAATTTCTGTATTTTTTTTTTTTTTTTTTTTTTTTTTTTTTTTTTTTTTACTGTTTTTTGAGACGGAGTCTTGCTCTGCGCCCAGGCTGGAAGTGCAGTGTCCGGATCTCCCAGCTCACTGCTTTTTTTTTTTTTTTTTTTTTTTTTTTTTGAGACGGAGTCTTGCTCTGTCGCCCAGGCTGGAGTGCAGTGTCCGGATCTCAGCTCACTGCAAGCTCCGCCTCCCGGGTTTTCGCCATTCTCCTGCCTCAGCCTCCCGAGTAGCTGGGACTACAGGCGCCCGCCACCTCGCCCGGCTATTTTTTTTTTTGTATTTTTTAGTAGAGACGGGGTTTCACCATGTTGGCCAGGATAGTCTCGATCTCCTGACCTCGTGATCCTCCCGCCTCGGCCTCCAAAGTGCTGGGATTATAGGCGTGAGCCACTGTGCCTGGCCTGCAGGGTTTTTATTTTGTTTTGTTT